GCAACCTGGAGCATCATCTGCAACGGCGGCATCTTAACTTGCAGCTCCTTACGCCGTTGCAGATTTCGCTTCTGTTTCGGGGTCTGGAGGGACGGGGAGGCATAGGAATGGATGGCTAATGGATGCAACTGAATAGGTGAAGTTGGGAGATCCAAAGGGATGGGCATTCGTGGTGCACTGGTTAATTTATGTCTTGTTGTTAATGTATTTCGTTTGCTGTTTGTAGTGTCTTATGATGCAGACACGCACGGAGCCAAGTACAACCACAGAGACAGACACACGAAAACAAATGCGAATGCTGCTCAAACTTGGGTATTCCTGGTTCAGGCAAAGGGGAGTTGTCACTACACTGCTCGTCTACCTCACCTTGGTAAAGTACCTCCGCGCCTAAAGAAGTTAAGCGAGCTTACATGCCCATAGTACATACTACTATACTTGGCAGTCATGTGCCTCGACGCCCTCTGCGTTGTTTGCTCCTGGAAGAAGGGCCAATCGGCCAGTCAGCAGTACAGCGGCTGATTTCTGCCAGAAAAGTGCCCCCACGGTTCGGTTCAAAATCACAGGCTTAGCTCTAAGGAGAGGTGATGCTCCGAGGTCCTAGTCCTACGTGCTTCTTCACGGAAATGTCCCGCTCCTTTTCTTGTAAGGCGCATCGGTGAACAGAGCAGACCAGCTTCGCAGGGCCAAATTCCTAAACAGCATTTGGGCGACAGGCCGTCCAAAGGCTTGAGATGCAAACTGCGGGACTGCGGGATTTCCCTAACAAGAATCCGGCAAGGCTAAGTCTGCGGGGTTCCTTCATTCGGTGCCCAATCCTCAAGACTCTAGTGACTCTAGTGGCTGGGTGGCGGTAGTCCTGATGGAAGTTGGCCGAGGTCCCAGCCTGTAGACTGTTGTTTGGCTCGGCCTGGCATCTATCAGAGTCGGAACCTCCACTAGATTTCCGAACCTGCCTGGTAGGACCTGGGGCGTTTTTCCTCAACGTAGCTTCCTTGCAGCTGTAAGCCAAAGACATCGGCCTTCTGTGATGTGCACATTCTCAAATGAAACCGCAAGCCATTTTGGCTCCAACTGCCGAATCGGAGCTGCGCATCGTGGAGCTTTGCAGCTCCATGGTGGGCGCAGCACTTGTGGGATTCTTCCGAGGATGCAGGTTGAGGGTTTGAGGTGTTAAAGTAGGATGCATCACTCAAGAATCAGCCTGCTCCCAGTATGAGTTTACTGTACCGTTCCGGAATTATGGTTCAGATATCCACGCTTCACAGCTCTCTTCCAGATGGAACCGGGCGAAGCGGCGGTGGCTGCAGTGGCAGCAGTGGCATCAGCAATAGAAGCAGCGGGAGCAGCAGCAACAAAAGAAGGCGAACGCCAAAGTCATGCAGATCCTGCTCAAGATGAACCAGCGGCCCGGAATTCGAGATTATGTTTACGATGGTCATGTGCATGCCTTTCAGTGTAACGCATGCAAACGTGCGGAGACAGGGTTTGTTCTTGTTTTGTCCCATGTCCCTTTATATGTCAGTGTGGCTTTTTGCAGCTGTTTTGGTGTGCCAAATCTTCCCCAACATCCCAGCAGCAACCCCTAACAGCCTGCAAGTGACGGAAGAGGCGCTTGGTGTCGGAGAGACGCCGGCTCGACCTTCAGCGTCACCCGCTCCAGATCCGACGAAGGCCTGAGTTCAACTACCAGACTTATATGGTTCTTGTGACAGACCAGCCACGAGCCGAGTCCAGGTCATGAGGAATGTTTTCCCGTGCTTGAAATTGCCTGAACGACTGGCCATGGCGAGAATATGCCGAAGTTGGTACCGAGTCCTCCCTCCTCGCGATGCAGAGATTTCACGGGCTGCGCAGGAGACTTGGTAAGAGATTTGCTGCCCGTGGAGGAGGGAGGGAGAGAGCCAGAGAGAGAGCGAGACAGAGGCCACTCGACCTGAGGATGTCGCGGACTGTTGTCGGGGTAGGCCTGCGGGCCAGGGTCCTCCGGGGCCCAGACCCCTCAGCAAGCAAGCAAGCAAGCGAGACAGAGGGATTTGATCTGGTCTCGATCTGCTAACAGCCCCAGTTTTCATCCTAGAGCTAGGGTATCGGCCGGCAACTGAGGCAAACGGATTAGCATCCGTCATTGACAAAAACTGGTCGGTGCTTTTCCATCACGACGACCCATGTGGCTGGGACTCCGTCACCGTCACGCTGCAGTATCTTGGACGATCTGCGAAGCTCAGGGGGAAATTCACACGCAAGCCTGTGGGGATCTGCCTTGGAAGATGGCAGATCCCGAAGCAATGGCAGAAAGGCGATATGTATTCAGTCGGCTATCAACTAGAGCAGCTTCAGCAGGTCATGAAGAAGTATGGAATCAGAAGAGCTGACCAGGGAGAAGGGAAATTTGAGTTCCTGAAGGTCATGGTGGGACTCGATGTCTTAATCGACCACATCGATGATTAAATCAGTACTCAGTACTTGGCAACCTGCAGAATCATCTTCAACGTCGTCCTGTGCGCTGTTTGTTCTCTGAGAAATGCCATCAGCCAGTCAGCAGTACAGCGGCTGACTTCTGCGAGGGAAAAAGTCCTACGGTTAGGTCCTCGCATGGAAATCGCAAGCTTAGCCCGCAGGATGTCGCGGGAGAAATGCTCCGACGTGCTTCTTCATGGAACGGTTGTGGTCGTCCGAGGATGTTGTTTAGAGGATTCGGCGGACAGAACAGACCAGCTTCAGACGGCGACATCCCTGAGCCCAAGACCATTAAATCGCAACAAGGTTCCCTAGTGCCAGAGACCCCAGCTCTGCAGCTTCGCGAGTACAGCCGAGTGATTTGCAAGTGGAGAGTGTGTGACGGTACTGACCTGCAGCCCGAAGCTGTTTCCATGAACTTTCCCTGGTTGTCGAGCCAGCTGGAGCTGCCAAGGTCGTTGAAAAGCTTTCTCTGGACAGTGGTGCTGCTGCTGCTTGGATCTGTTCATTGTGCGACGGGCTTGTAGCCGTAATCATGCAACCAAGGGCTTCGGCACACAGGACAGGACCTACCGACCTACCCTTCAATTCTAGATGCCCTGTTGCCAAGGTGCACCCGAAATCCTTTTGACCAACCCCCGTGTCCAACAAACTGCAGCCTGCCTTCGCTTCAGTACCCTAGCTCCCCAACCCCTCTCTGTCCTCATGCCTTCTAGTAGCTTAAGAGGCTTGCCCGAAGCTCACTAGCAAGCTCCCACAAGACAAAGACTGTACAGCCTCTCGTGCAGATCTTCATGTCTAGAAGCTTTTTCGTCCAGCCTGCCATCTTTGGCTGGACACAGGCTTATCCTGATGTACTGCGTGGCGGTCACTCGGCTTGATGCTTGCAACTGGCGAGCAGCGAGGCACCAAAGGTGTCTCGGGTCCCTGTTTTTTTTTTTTTTTGTGTGTGTGTGTGTGTGTCTCTGGTGTCATTCTGTCTTAGCCTTGTGCACAGAGATAGCGGATGTTTTGACATGCAGCCGTCGGTTTCAGCGTCAAGACGTTGTCTTAGAGTCTTAGAGTGTTAGAGTGCAGCTTGGAGCATTCAGTGACTGGAAGGATAGGCAATCGGAAAGTTCGGAGTCACTCCTCCAGATCTTGCTGTATGTACTTATTGGCATGCATACTAAGGCTTCCTGCCTGTATTCTGGGATTTGAATCGCTCGCCCCAACTCAAGCCTATACACCCTTATCTTAGACCACACGCGCTGTATTTGCATACTGACCTCAAGCTATCAAGTAAGCAGAGACCCATTAGAAGACTCCAGGTCTACTTCACGGAATTGGCCTTCGACTTGCAGCACAAGCATCCGGAGAGCCGGGGGCGAAGCCTTGACTTCTCCGCCCCAGCCCCCGGAGAACAACAACAACGGCAACAGCAGCAACAGCAACAACAGCAACAACAACACAGTGGCTATGGTGTACAGGGTTTGACTTGAGCATTACCAGGCATTTTCAGAGGATTTCCAAGGATAGTCTAGGATTTCAATGGGATCTTGCGGTATTTCCAAAAGATTTCAGTGGGATTCAGAGGGATTTTCAAAGCATTTTCAAGGGTTGGTTTATCAGGGCGCGAACAGTAGGTGTCCAGGGAGCATCGAAACCTTTCTAAATCCGTTTCCAACTGCCACAAAAACCGTTTAAAACCATCCTAAACACAATCAAAACACTTTCAACACCCACCCTTCACAATCACATGGAAACTCATCCAAATCCCCCTAAGGCCTTTCAAAATCCCTCTGAAGCCCTTCGACATCATTCAAAACCCGAACCGTTCGATATTTATTGAACGCGCTTAAAAAAATGAAAATGCTTGAAACTTCAATCAAACCCTTTCAACACCACATTAAACCCTTAAACCTCATACATCATGCAGAATCTCATGACATCATTACCATTAAATCCCTTCCAAAACCCATTAAAAAATTCTACAGTTCGCATATTCCAGGACCTGGGGCGGAAACGTGGTGTAATATGGGCGGATGTTGTAAAGCGGGGCGGGGGGGGGGGGGGGGGGGGGGCGGGGGTCAAAACAACAGACGGGGCTCCAGTTTTTGTCGCTACTAGCAGGTAGAGACAAAGTCCTGATTTCAACCGGTCTTTTGTCTTTATCTGCTGCCAAAGACAAAAACTGTAGCCCCGTCTGTTGTTTTGACCCCCCCTTTTTCAACCACCACCCAGCCTACAGCGCCTTTCTATCATGGAAGCACTTCCAATTGTTGCTCCTTGGCATAAATTGCGGGCTGCTGTTTTTGTCTGTACCAACAACAACAAGTCAACAAGCCAACAAGCCAGCAATCAACAACAACAACAAGAACAAGAACAAGAACAAGAACAAGAACAAGAACAACAACAACAACAACAACAACAACAACAACAACAACAACAACAACAACAACAACAACAACACCAACACCAACACCAACACCAACAGCAACAGCAACAGCAACAGCAACAGCAACAGCAACAGCAACAGCAACAACAGCAGCAGCAACAACAACAACAGCTTACAACACCTCAAACCTTGAAGTCGAGAATCCTCACCCTCACTATATCAGCGAATGTCCCCTGTTCACATTGAACACATTCGAACGACCCAGCGTCCTTATTACTCGCGGGCCGCAAGTTCTGCAAGACAAGTGTGTGTGTGTGTGTATGTATGTATATATATATATATAATCCACCCTGACGTCTATGTGGATCATAATCACATGCACAACCCTGGACCGCAGCAGTAGTCATGCCTGGCGTGGCCTCCTTTGCGGGGTGGAAGAGTGATATTGCCGATATTAGTAGGTGTGACTGTTGTGACAATCGTGGTGGAATGTTGAGCTTCGGGCACACTGTGCGGGAGCCAAAGACACCTCAGCATCAACCCCTGGACAAGAAGAGCCTGAAACTGTCAGCGACCCATCCGACAGCACTAAATCCCCAACCCTCAATCCCCAAACCTTCAACCAACCCTTCTGCCCTACGTAAATCCTTTGGAGGACAGAGACTTCTCGTCGGTTCGACAGAGCTGGGGCCGCTAGTGCACGGTTTTTGAGGATTGTCGAAAGGCTTCCCCATCGATTTGCGACGCGTTTGGCACCACAACATTATGGGATGTTTATGAGGCTCTCAGGGTTCCAGAGGGTAGGGAGTGTTGAGCTTTGTCGTTTAGGGTTGGGGAGCTGGGTTTGGGACAGATGTCTATGAGATGAATCTCCGCACTTTAAAGTGTTGAAATCCCAAAACATGCCAGGATCCATCGGCAGTTCGATCCTGTCCCTCTTCCAGGCCATCACAGGAGGAGATGACTGGCCGCTGGGCTTACTGTTGATTGTGATGTGCGGTTAGCATACCGCCTGCACATGTTGAAGCCAGTAACAAGTGGCCGTTACTTTCTGAGGTATGCACTGTAGACTATAGAGCTCTGACTGTGAGTGTTTGGTGTGGCTTGAAGCCCGGGAGGCTTGACCAGCCTCCAGACTTATCACTTTTCAGGTCATCCCTTTCGGGTTCGGTACCGCCCTGATTTTCAGGTGGGAGGAGAGCATGCCTGTTGCATGTCGAAAAGCTTGGAAATAGCTCCAAAGGTTCTTGTGTGCACCTTAGCTGCTGGCTTTCGCTTGACCTTCCAACTTCCCAGAGAGAGCTGCCGAGCTTAGCCTTGAGGTCTTTCTTTTGTCCCCTGACAGCCTGATGTATTGCACTTCAGAGTGTGTGTACTGGCGCTGTCGGTAAAGTCCGCTTCGTTTTCGGGCTGTCAGTATTTCAGGGAGCCACCAGCAGAATGGATCAAGGCTTGCACAACTTCTGGGACAAGTACTCAAGGAGCTTTTGGCAGAGTCTACAACAATCAGAGGCCCAGGTGTGCTCGCAGCTCAGGCAGAATTTCATCCTCGTGTTTCGGGATGTATCTGGGGAAAGCAGCCTGGTGTTTCTCGGCTTCACAGAAAGTACGTCAGATCGGAGACCATTGATCCACACAGGCCAGGAATGGCCGTGATCCTTCTCCCCAGGCTAACAACATGTACATTTGCTACCGCGTCTTACTGCTATCGACCTAGCTGCTTGTCTGTCTGTCTGTCTACCCGCTGGCTTTCCTCTGTCGTGAACACATGTACGGCGCTTACCTAAGCCGATCATGACGAGCGTCGCCTCAAGAGGTTGTCAATCTCAAACGCGTCTCATGACACAAGATCGTTGCGACTCTACCTCAGCAAAGGCAAAGCGTTGGATGGGACATGTCACTGGTGACGGTGAGGTTCTGCAGTCGTTCGAGTTGTGGATATCGGAGTCCATGTCTGGCATTTCATGTTGAGGTCTAACCAGATTGGAAGAGTGAGTTTTTTCTTTGGGGGGGAGATGGGGGGAGGGGCGGGGTCAGCAGGTGCTGTACGGGATTCACGCCAGCAAGGAATACCTTGGTCTTCTCCTTGTTCATCGCCTTTGCCACTCTGGCTCCTGCCTCAGCATGCAAACCAACAACGCACCCAGAGAAAATGATAGTCATAATAGTAACTAGTACTTGGGTTAAGATTTCAGTGATCCAGAATACGGCAAGTCGACATGAGTGAAAGCAGGTTTTTTCTGTAGGGACTTGAAGATGTGCAGAACCACCGCAGCAAACGAAGTGATAAACGTTTGCGACGAAGATGCGGTTTCTTGCACTCCAGACCAGCCCCACACCTTATAGATACCCGTGCATAAGTTCACGTTTGCGTGTTTATATGGTAGAGAGATATGAACACACACACACATAACAAATAATTATATATACATATGGGGGTAGCATATATATATATACGTATACATACTTATGCACACATATATATGTATATACATATGTGTGTATATAGCATACGTAGTACAACAGATATTATATGTATGTACATAAAAGTTACATATATGTATGTACCAGTATGTATGTACGTATGTATGACCTCTTGAAGCAAGCTTTCCTTCTCGGGCTGTTTTTTCTGAAAGTCTGCCCTGCGCTTCCACCCTAAAGTTGACTAACAGCAGTACTGCATACAGAACATGCCTTGGTACTGGGTTGGCGGCTGCGGCTTTAGGGTAGCAGCTTGTGCTTGTGTGCTTTTGCATCTCATGCCGGTCACATCTAGCGCCCACCCACACCCACCTACCAACCCGCCCGCCCAGCCACACACCCACCCATACACGCATGCACGGACCCGCACGCACCTGCGTGCACCCACACAGACACAGACACGGAGACGCACAGACACAGACTCACCGAGACTCACAGCCGCACAGACACACCGACACACAGACAGACAGACACACACACACACACACACACACACACACACACACACACACACACACACACACACATTCACGCACATTCGCACACACACACACACACATTCACACACATTCACGCACATTCACGCACATTCGCACACATTCACACACACATAGACACACATAGACACACACACACACATATACATACATTCACACACACACACACACACATTCACACACACACACACAATCACACATACACTCTCACTCTTGTGTGCGGGAAAGGTTATGATGAACCTGGTTACTGGAGTCTTCGTCGATGGGGCGCAGCGCATCGCGCGTGAAGAGAAGAACCAGGATGCTCCGGTTGCAGTGCGGTTAAGGTTTCGGAAGGCTGCCGTTAGGGAGGTCTTTTCGGGACCTGTCTAGGTAGGATGTGGCCGGGAATGTTTCGGACGCCATGATGTCGATACAACTCGTAACACGAAGCTAGACAGATCAACAAGACCTGCTCGTAATCTTTCCACGTAGAACTCGAGATTTAGGGTTAGGGCTGCCTACAGCTGCTTGAGATGAGAACCGCCAGCTGGTGCCGACTCGCAGAGTGCGAGTGTGACATGCTTTCGCCCTTTGCCCGAGAGCCATGGACCTTGAATTTTTCTGACCTTGCCTGGCTTGTCCGAACGTGTCAGAAAAACTCAAGGATCCAGAACTTCCTCTCCCTTTCCTGCAATCGCGTGCACTCGCACGCCAGGAGCTGCTGAAACATGTGAGGAGGCTCTTGGCCCCACAGGAGGCTCGGGCCGGCAGCTGCTTGGGCCCGCACAGACTACAGCTCTAGCACTCGCTGCCATTGATGCTTAGCCTAGGCCATCCGAAGTCCCATTTGGGGTCAGCCAACTACCATCAACCTCGTGTTTTTTTTTAAAGGAAGCACATTGCCCTTCCCAGATCTGAGTTGGGTGATTATTTCGGCAATGTAGGAGCCATGATGTAAGTTTGTCCTCGCCTGACTCTGTCGAGAGCGAGTGCCAAAAAGTCTGTTCAGCTTTTGGACATCTGGCGTCGAGCCGCGGTTCGATCGAAAACCCTCAGGATATGCTGAAGGATTTTGTTCAAGCGAGTCTACGTTGATTGTTCCGGCTCTTGGCATCTAACTCTGAAGCAATCTGGGCCCAAGGCTGGGAATACATCATATGCACTGCATATGTATACATACCTGTATACTCATACACATACGTACGCATTTGTACACATTTGTACATGCGTACATACATTCAGTCATTCATATAGACAGAATCGAGTTGTCGAGCCGTCCAGCCTCCAGCTCAGGATCCAGCATAGCACCGCGTGGGGGCGATGATGGAATCTCGGCCTTTTGAGCGGGGAGGGAGCAGGGGCACGGATTGACCTCTTTTGCCGTTGCACTGATTTTGTCGTAGAGCTTTTCATCTGTTCGCTGCAAAGTTTGTTAGGTTCATGTCTCTTTGCTTTTGTCAGTTGTTTGGTTTGTGAACTCACAGCGACAAATCTCCTTGTCGAGGTTACCAACTTGAAACTGCACCACAATAGTAATTTCATCTGGTGCCCACCGCACCACCACTCCAAAAAACGCGACTCTCAGTTCTGTCTAAAGCAAAGCGAAGCAAGATAATAGTCATCGATGAAGAAACAGAGAACATCGTCGGCGCTCTGAACTTGAATTTGCTGCATGAAATCGCACGCAAACAGCACGTCTCGAACCCTTCTTAGAGGTTTGTACAGAAGCTGTTGCCATCCGAGACCTGGTGACCTGGCTCGAGTTCTGTCAGAAGCTGCAAACGGAAGAGATGAGTGCGTACCTGACGGCTTTCGAGATGGATGCTGGCCAGGCTAAGGAGCTCAGCCACAAGTAGCATCTGCCAGAGATTTGTCACGATTAGGGCACTGAGAGCTATGACAGTTCTTGTGAAGCAGTCAGGCGCACCACGGTCGCCATGACTCCCACGTGAACAATGTCCTTCATCTGTTCGAGCGTCGGTTGTTAGCTTGTCAGAGTATATTTATTCAATAAGAAACCTTGTAGAGCTGCAATGGATACTTCGTGTCGCAGTACGTGCTGATCATATCTGCTCATGTTTTTCGGAGCTTACAGTCGATTACGGTTCTTTGGTCTATTTGGAGTTTGGACTGTGGTTCATGTATGAAAAGTCTACAGCGGGAGCGCTGTATAAGAAGATACTTTCTGGGACGAGGGTAGTCTGGTTTTCTTATTTTGATAGCGGCTGGTTTTATGGGAATATTCAAGCTGGGATGAGTCAGGGTAGTCTGGTTTCCTTAAGGCCGTTTTCTTATGTAGCTACATATGTCCAGGGCCCAAGACCCCCAGATGAACAAGCGAAGACTTGCCCCAAACATCAAACCCAACAGGCCCAAGATCTCGAAATTAAGCCATAAATCTTCAAACACAGTCATAATGCAGCACCGTATCCCATTCTACAGTCGTTCAAACAGTTTTCCTCCAAACCAGGCTGTATCAGGCTCAACGGAGGCCCCAGGATCAACCATCGTTCCAGAACCCCCCTAAATAAGACAACGAGACTCTGGCATGTTCTTATTTTCCTTCGTTCCAGAACCCACCTAAATAAGAAAACGAGACTCTGGCATTGTCTTATTCTCCTTCGTTCCAGAACCCACCTAAATAAGAAAACGAGACTCTGGCATTGTCTTATTCTCCTTCGTTCCAGAACCCACCTAGATAAGAAAACGAGACTCTGGCATTTTCTTATTCTCCTTCGTTCCAGAACCCACCTAAATAAGAAAACGAGACTCTGGCATTTTCTTATTCTAATTTAATTCGTTCCAGAACCCACCTAAATAAGAAAACGAGACTCTGGCATTTTCTTATTCTCCTTCGTTCCAGAGCCCACCTAAATAAGAAAACGAGACTCTGGCATTTTCTTATTCTCCTTCGTTCCAGAACCCAGCTAAAGACCACGAGTATGACAGAACGAAATAAGAAAATGAGACTCGCGGACGAGGGTACCCTGGTTTTCTGATTTTAACAGTGCTTGATATTTTTATGTAGGACCCTATCAATCGCAAAATCCAGAGTCTCATTTTCTTAATCCAATGTTTTCTTAAGTAGTGCTGGTTTAGTTTAGAGTCTGCAGCGCAGCCCTTCCTCAAAAACGTGCAGAGTGCTGAGCCCGGGGGCGCGCGACAGATGCTACAGGACATCTTCTACATCCTGGATCAAGAGCGACAGGGGAAGGTGACAATGCGCGAGTTTTTCTCTGCCCCTCGGCAGCTTCCGTTGTGAGCAGAGGTCCTCGAGGATTCAGGGTAATTTTATTTTTCTGGATTTTTCTGAGTGCTGGTGTGTTGTGTCGGCTGCCAGGCGACTTTGTCCGGCAGAGAGAGTGTGAGCTCAGTGTAGCCGGAGCGAAGTCCTGCAACTAACTTTCAAGTCCGTCTTCATGCTCGGCGGGGACTAGGCATGTGAGAACCATGGAGTGCATGGAATCAAGCATTTAAACAAAAACAGGACGAGAGAACGAGAGAGACAGAGAGAGAGAGAGAGCGAGAGTACATTCGGCATGCTTAAACTGACGGGCTCGTGAAGTTGATGGTGTGTGAGGTGTGTGTGTGTGTGTGCGTGTGTGTGTGTGTGTGTGTGTCTGTATACGTATATATATATATATATATATATATATATGACTTCCATAATGTTGGGGTTGCAGCCTCTCCAAGAACGCCATGTGACAACGCCATGTAACCAATAGTTACATGCAGAGGACAAGGGGCCCTCAAGAACGCAACACCAGCCAGTACCATCTCAAGCCCAAAGTCGGGGAATGGTTCATTGGCTCCACCAAAACTTACCCTGCTCCACTGGGAAATCCAATGCTTCCTGTAATTTCACCATCGAAAGAGTTTATCTTGACAGGACCCTTAAGCGAGCCAACACCAACCCTTTGTTTCCCGACCCGAGGCCTGTGTGAACCTTCACGGTGCGCCCAGGACTGGTTGGGGTAAACGTGTGCCCTTAGCCTTGGCCGAGCTTCAATAACAGAGTCTGCGCATGAGAAATGTTTGGGCCTATGGTGATATTGAGTGGGTTTGGGCACTTTACCATGTGGCAGATTGGCGCTGGTGTGAATGTGTACATCCATATCTATCTAAGCAAGCGCCACGGCAGCTTGACAGCCATTATTATGGCTCCAGGGCATTTTAGCTTTGGGCGGTGCTCCTGTAGTAGTTGCCATGAAGAGAAAGCGCCTAATTGGCAAGCAATCTGTCGGGGCTTCTTGCCCAAGTGCAGGTGACGTGCTGCCTGAGGCGCTACAGAAGACGCGGCCCGAAGTTCTAGGTTTCTTAGACTTCCGTGCTTGCTGTCGGCTTCAGGCTGCCGCTTGTTTCTGGCGTGGTTCTACATGGAACAGGCCTTCGCAGCACCTTGAGAGTCTTTGGCGCCGCGTGTCCCACATCATGCGGCCCTTCCTTGAGGACCAAGACTGGTGCCGCTTAGAAGCTGCATCGCCGTACTGGCTACAGAACGCTGCTGGCGAGGCATCGTGGCAAGCTCTCTTGGTAGAGCGCTTCGGCGCGATTCCTGCCGTTCCTGGTGTGGAAGTGTTAGCAAGACTGCGCACACGGCGCACGGAACGCAAGTTTCTCTACTTTCTGCATGTCTCCTGGCGCATAGTACCTGGAGAACGTGCTGCAGGCATCCGCATCGGACTGCAGAAGAGCAAGCTTCTCACGAAGCCTTGTCACACAATTGTGCCTCGCTACTATATACCGGAGTACCTCAGCCCAGGGAAAGGTTACTTCTTCTTGGACTTCAAGCCTATCGGAGGCCCCGTTGAGTGGTGGGAGAGGTTGGCGGACGAGAGGGCGCACAAATCGTTCGACCTGCCCATTGCACATGAGGAAGTGACTCCCCCATTAGGTGTTTACGATGGCTACAACACCGACTTCACGGGACAATGCCTCACGATCTGGACGGACGGGGCTGTTGTCAGGGCCGTTGGTTGTCACAAAACTTCGCCGAAGTTTCGTTTCCTGGAGGTTCCAGGACGCCCGACGCTCAAGGGAATCTCCATCGGAATCAAGTGCCAGCAGCTCCTGGACAAGCTTGGCGCTGTCATCGATGACATCATCTTCGGTGACAGCAACCCTGGTGGTCCAACCATCTTCTTCGAGCAGTTGCCACGGGTGAGCTTCGAAGTAGATGCAGAAAATGGCGGTTTGGCAGAGGTAGACGACTTCACGTCGTATCAGGATATCGACTGGCTGCGGCCGCGCCTCCACTTCCCTATCAGCGCGATCTTTGTCTGGTGAGCTGCTCTTAGCTTTCTGTGCAGCTGCCAGGCAACCGGTCGTTCCTGTCTGGGCCATAGGCACCATCGCAGGGGGAATGCGCGATGCGTGATTGACGAAAAGAGCTTTATTTATGCGATCAATCATATTCGAAGGCGTGTCATGCTTTTAGCCCTGAATTGCTCGGAGGCTCGCAGACACGGCGATCCTGCGGCACTTGGTGCAAAGAACCTTTGTGACTGTGTCTGCAGCAGGTGGCCCTGTTACCCTACGGTCATAAATGTTTAATGCTCAAATGTCCGCGTATGTAGCGTTTTGTCCTTGGGGACAGTACTCTTGGAGACACGAAGGCTTGTTGGGACGAGGGGTGTGCTCTAGCGACGAGCTGCAGCGTGGTGAGCCGTTGCTGGCTAGATGAACGCTTCCTTACAATTAAGTCGAGGCATTGCGGGAACCACTCGTGAGAAGAAAGCTAAGCTTGTTGAATCATGTTGATGACAGTCTGACATGTCCTCGCTGGCACGGCAGGACTGCCTGCTGCTGGGGGCCTTTGGTATGTTGTTAGGCTTGAAAGAAGGCTGCAGGGTCATGGGTTCATGGCTTAGGTTGCACCCTGGCCAGCCCTCAATGGATAAGGGGCTCGATCATGAATTGACAAGGGCTGTTGACCCACAACTTTGCAGAGGTCGGCCTCATCCGGTAAATAGTAGCTGGCGAAACAGGTTTGATAGGAACATATAGGAACCAAGGGGCCAAAAGGAGCTGGTGAAGCGAATATGCATTCGATGTTCGTGGAGTCGGCTTCTAAATTCTATGGCGAAAAACAGAGTTGGCGACCCGTTTCCGTAGCTAGTGGACTTGAATACCAGCGAGAAGCATTTGTTGCCGAAATCGTATTTCGCGTCGTTCGTTCCCCCAGAAGCTGCAAAGGATCCATAAGATGGATGCTCTGAAAAGCTCTATCTTAACCCATCATTGATGAAACAGTTGGCTCGTGAGAGTGACTTGCAAAGCGCGCGTGCGAGATGTTTTTTTCACGGCTGTTTAGCACAGCTTGTCAGTAATTGCCAGGCCAGACAGAGCAGACATAGTAACTCGGTAATCAAAGGACTCGGTCCATCAAGCATACAGTTTGCTACGAGGCTCTAGTCGTGTGTCAATGCCTTTTTCGTCTTCCGCATGCAGAGGCACACTGAGCATGCGCGGGGTCGAATCCAAATGCTGCACTGCCGCAAGCATGCAATGCGCGCCCTAAACTAAGCGGTTCTGGAGGATACCGGATACTTAAAGCCATCTTACCGAGCAGTCTTCAGCCCAGATCTGTTCACTTAGCTTGTCTTCTCGCAGGAAAATGTCTTAAGGGCTACGGGATGTACGATCCGGCAGGAGGAAAGCCGAAATGATGGCACAGGCAGTCGCAGTAGCATCGATCCTCGTGGTAAGATGCATCAATAGACACTATGACAAAAGTAGTTTTCACAACATTGGTAGTCACGGGGAGAATTCAGGAAGAGCTGGACAGCCACTTGGATCGAGTGGAGGCCCTCCTTGGAGGCCGAGTTTGGGGAAATTTCGGGTCGCCCGGAGCTGGCGAGCGGATTCGGGTTTGCGGCTCTTGCCCGAGCTTTTTTGGTGGTTTACTGCGCGGTGCTGAACAGCTCTTAGCTTGCGAACCAAAGATTCTCGGTCTATGTAGGTTCGGGGGCCTGGTCTAAATCAGGGTTTCCTTCCTGAAAGCATGTCTCTACGCTGTCGACATCACCATGGACCGGCTAGGGGGGACTCAGCCCGGACCCAACTTGCAGAACTGGTAAGAGCGCTACGGGACAAGGAACAGCTCAGCAACACTCAATCAAAAGCTGGCATGGAACGCCCGCTGGCAGCAATGCTGGCTCACGACCGGTTAGACAAGTCTTTGACGAAGATCCGCGATCAAGAGGTACATGTACTTCTTTCATCGGCACACATGTGAGTTCCTTTCAGGACCAGCCGTCCGAGACGACGGGTTCGGGGCCCAGGATTTGGGGCAGTTTGGGGAACTGTGATGGACTCGCTTTCCAGATCGAACAGAGTCTCCAGACGCAAGCCCGATTCCCGGATCCAACAGGTGTCGTCACCCTTATGGGCGTGCTCATGCCACACTGCCACCATCACTAAGGGCTGCGCCGAAGTACGCCCACACCTGTCCCGACTTCCACAAGCCCGGATGAGGTGGAGCACCTCAGTTAATGCTGCTTGACGAAATTCTGCAGGGGCTGGAAAGCCCTTTGAACACAAGGATCTCGGCTTTTTTTTATTGCAGTTTAGTTTTTCCTGTGTTGGTCCCAGAGGATCTAGCTGTCCAGCTATGGCGCTGTGGCATGTGGAAATGGAGCTGGCTGTTTCACAGTCTCGCAGTAAACCTCAGCAGCCCATGCTCAGTATCCACCTGAGGTTCTGGTTGGCATCCATTGTCAGCCTGCTGTCCAGCCAGCGGGGATGAGATCAACAGCTTGCATGTTAGGCATCATGCAATCTGAGGCGCAAGAGTTATAAACCAAGTGGTAAGACATATAGTCGATTGCCAACGTGCGGGCTAAGCTGGAGAATGCTAAGCTAATTTCTATAAGTGGTTTGGCTTGGAGAGATATCCTCCAGGAATCTGCTGTGAAGCAGGGTGGGGAGGGCAGAAAGATCCGCGCCCAAGGCGCAGGTTTTGAGCTTGAACTCGGGAGTTGTAGCTCTTCAGCTCTTCAGGCCGCGTCCAGGATGGGCTTCGGCTTGGGTTCAACTTCAAGGTTCAAGCTGCTAGCAGAAGGCTCTTGCAGGGACCTTCCTCACGGGGCGTGGTCGTTTTGGGCTTGAGAAGTGAAACCGAACATGGTTGACAGGTGACAGGTTAGGGTTTATAAGGAAGAAGCATCACTGCGCGGACTTAGTTTGATTGGGGTCTGCCAAGGCAGCTGAAAGTAAAGTTTTTGCTGCTCAAGCCCCGTGGCCTCACGCCGTTCATCGTATAGAGGCAACCAAGGCGCGCAATTTCCCGGACAGTATCATGGGCTTTATGCGTCCATCGGAAGACAGCAAGGAATTGGTCCCGTCAAGCAGTCAGGCTGCGGCCAGGTCAGAAGTATTTGTGGCAGCCTGGTAACTGCTTTACACGCAAGCAGAAGGACATCGAGAGGTTGTGGTGGTGGCACAGGTGGAAAAACGCACTAGTCATACCTGCATCCGTAGCAGCAGCCGAGCATCATAACACTCAAAGATGCTACTGCTACTGTTAGAGCACTCGCCAAGTTGTAGTCTACGGAGCAATGGCAGCAAGAAAGCAAGACACGAGTAAAGCATACCAACAGCATGCATATTGCAGTAACACGTGTGCAGTTAATACAGAGCATGTGAGGTTGGCATTTCTGTGTGGACGATCTGGCCGTCTTGGTTCCAAATTCATTATCGTTGGCGTGCGAGTGCATTAGGGTTTGCGAACGAGTTTCCTTTTCTGGAAGTTCGTTCAGATGCTTTTTTGGTATGATGCGCAGGGAACCCTAATTTGCAGCAGCGCTCTTGTTATGTCGCATGTAACATGCCGGCACCTTTTATCAGAGATGGGGATCAATGGATCATGCAGCACGCCAGCTTGCTGAACAGACGGGGAGAACGGCACCGAATTATGCTCCATGCCCAGACAGTCAGGCAGAGTGCTCCATTCTAGACAACAGAGATCTCAAGAGACTGTTTTTGCTGCTGTCGGTCCTACGATCTACCCCAGCACACACATTATGTCGCCATGTAGATGGCTTTCCCGCCGCAAACTGGCGACAAAAAATGCGATACACGCTGTCTTGCTCATGAGCTTGCACATGGCTTTGGCTTGACAGCCTCCTTCCCGGAGACTTGGTTACGGGTTTCACATTTTATGTTTGTGTCGAGACTGGGGCCATGGTTCTTTTTTTTCCAAGGTGCGGCCAACCCTTGTTTGCGAGTTGCGGCCAAGGGTCCCTGCTACATGCGGTCCCCTAGTCCTCTGGTCCTTGGTCTTGTGGTCCCCTGGTCCTCTGCTCGCGGTCCCCTAGTCCTCTGGTCCTTGGTCCTGTGGTCCCCTGGTCCTCTGGTCTGCTGGTCCTCTGGTTCCGTGGTCTCCTGGTCCCCTGGTGCATGCGGTCCCCTAGTCCTCTGCCACAGCCACAACCACAACCACAACCACGGGATAGGGGTTAAAAACAAATTAAATAAGGATCAAAAAAATAAAATAAGGATCAAAAAGAAATTAAATAAGGATCAAAAAAAATTAAACAGGTATCCACGAAAGGAGGGGGGGGGGTAACGGAGGAAAGAAGACACAGAGAGAGAGAGAGAGATAAAAAATAGAAAGAACGAACGAAAGAAGGAAAGAAAGACAGAGAGAGAGAGAGAGAGAAAGAAAAATAAAGAAAGAAAGAACGAAACAAAGAAAGAGCGGAAGAAAGCAAGAAAGAAAGAAATACATAAAACATAGTTATAAGGAAAGAAATCAAAAATACACAAATAGATAAATAAAGAAAGCTATAAGGAAATAAAAAAGAAAACACAAGGAAAGGACGAAAGAGAGTTAGAAACAAAGAAAAGCAAACAATAAAGACATAACGAATGAACAAAAATGGAGAAATAAAGAAAGACGAAAGGACATAAATTAACTAAGATGTTGTTTTGTTCTATGTTATCTTCTGTTATATTGTGATGTCGTCTTTTGTTATGTTATTAGATGCTATAAGAAGCAAGGTTCTGTTATGCCAGAAAATGCCACACTATTCTTGTGATGTCGAGCCATCTTATGTCGTTCTTGTGGTTTACTATGTTATATTATGTTATAGAATGCTGACGGAAGAAGAGACACGAACAGGCACGGAAGAACGAAAGACCCACTGCCGCGCTTTTCGAGCCGCGCAAGCTTGATTCAAACAGTGTTTTCGAAACCCATCATGTGAGCGTTGTGTCTGCAAATGGGGGGGGGGGGCGGCGCCCCCCCCAACCCCCCCGCTAACCAGAATCGCCAGATGAGGGGG